ATTCTATTCTATTCCATCGGTCTTCCATTTTTATGCCAGGCACAATTTTCCCAGCACGTCATGACTATAACGGCAAAGTGGAAAAAACACACACAAAAGAGAAATCCAATCTCACTATAGATGGCATCTCGTCTGAGTCAAAAGTATTTGTGGCAGTTCACCAAAGAAATACAGCCTGAAGTCACAAAGTTAAAGAAAGCTGAGACTTTCTGTATGTTAGATATGCGGAGGTAACTGTGACATTTGTAGAACTTGTATAATTGCTGTTAGAGTGGCTTGTTCTGGTCCGTTTTTGCAGCTGACAGTACCGAATACTGCAGCTCAGTGTGTAAATTCTACTAACCCAGCAAGACACACAATAAAATGTTTCTGGAAAAATTGGCAGGGACTTTTTTTTTTTTATTCTGTTGCCCTTTCAAAGTTTTTGCAATTTTCTGTGATCTTGTACAATCTGAGAAAAAGAGTTGACATTTTCACAGATGAAAGTCGGCTGCCTTCTCCGGTTAACGTCTCACAAATATTTCCGCTATCACATGAACGACGGAACAACTTTGAGGCAGCGACGAAAACAGTTTCAAACTATTCCACTCAAGCAAAAGTAATGTTACAAACGGTGAAACTGGACTCCAGAAAAGTAAGATTACTTGTGTAAAAAGACACTTAAATAAAAAATACATTAATCTAAGAAACACAATCAAACAAAGTCGCACTGCATGATGTAGCTGTTGGACTTAAAGCTGAATCGGTCCCTTTGATGTGATCGAAGACTTTCCTCATGTTCAACTTCAGCCTCAGATGGACGTGACTGGGATTCAGATTTGTTTAGGTGCACATTTATGTTGAATGTTTTTTGACTCGAGGGCACTTCTGTGGCATTTCACTTTGACTGGCTGACGTGGAAAGAACAACCGACTTGCTGTCATATCATTTCCTGGCACAGAGCTCCATTTCTTTTTTTTTTCACTCTGTATCCAACGTGGTTTAAATGGTAATGAAGAAAAACACCCTCAAAATAGGCTTAAGCTAAAATAAAATTACAGATTAAAATAAATACTCAAAAAGTAGAAATACAAAAGATTTACTTCACTACAGTAGCCAGAGTGATTGTAGTTCCTTACTTCCATCCCTGGGGACTGGTTGAGTGACATTTAATGACTTTAAACTGGAACTTACTTTGAGGTAAGACTTCTCTTCTACAAAAGTCAGTCTTTAATGATCATCTTGCCGGGAAATCCCACGAAGATCCTTCATTTTAAAGTCACTACATCAGCACAGACGTCCATCACGTCTCTACTGGGCGGTGTTTGTGCTGATCTCAAGATGCAGTAATTACATACAATATTAAGTTCAGAAAACCTTGGACCTGCATTGCTGACAGTGAGCCGTCTCATGAATGTCTCTCCCTCGTCTCTTCATCTGGAGGATTTTCCCATCCTCCGTGCTCTCATCCTCAGTAGTAGTAGCTTCCGAATACTGACACCCTGCAGAACAAGCTGTCCTATTGGAGGGAAAAAAAACACAGTTAACCGAGTTATTGAAAAGTCTGCCTCACCCTCATCACATCTGATTAAACTCACATTCATGAAAACATCTTCTGCATAGCTGTCTGTGTCAGCGTCCCAAAAACACCTGGATGACATCCTGGAAAAACAGCAAAACAGTCAGTCAGAGCTGACAGGGTCACTCAGGTCACGGGCTCCCATTATAAAGGTCTGAACTACTGAAGGAAAAACCTTGAACAATGTAATATAATCATAGAGAAGAGGCCTTAAAAAGAACAATGTATTATGCATTTATAGATATGTTGTTGAGATAGGCACAATACTAGAATCACCCTTCAGCAACAGACAATCTAATAAAATACTGCCACTAAAATTAGTTGTCATTATTCATCTGTCACAGGACAAATGAACCTTCTTGGTGCTGATTTTCAAAATTTACCTTAAAATGTTTCAATAACACAAAATTTGCA